CAAAGTGGGACTCATTCCTTCTGCTCTCTCCACAGCGGCCAGAGGGATTCTGTGAAAACCTGAGTCAAATCCTGTCCCTTCTCTGCACTGAATCTCTCCCTGGCTTCCATCTGGCTCAGTGTAAAAACAAGTCGTCACTGGATCCACTAGTTCCCTCTCTGACCACAACTCCCACCCTCTCCCCGCATTCCTCCTACACCTCAAGCACAGTCCTGCCTCAGGGCCTTTGCACAGGCTGTCTGCGCTGCCAAAAATGTCTTCTCCCAGATTCTGCAGGCCAATTCACCCACCAAATTTTTCTTTGCTCAAATGTCACCTGCTCAGTGAGAGACGCTCCGAGCAGCCTATATAAGAGCGCCATCCCTACACCCCTACACCCCTTCCCTGCTTTATTTCCTCCCAACACTCACTGCTACCTGTCTGAACACCTGAACACTACATATTTACCTGTATATTGGTCCATTTCCCCGCTAGAATGTGAGCACCATTGGAAGGGGACTTTTGCTCACCGTTTTAGTCCCATCACCTAGAAAGTGTCTAGCACTCAATCAGTGCTCAGTAAAGATTGATTTGTCCATTCATTCATTCATTCAATCAGCAAACACCTCCCAAGGACTCTTGCGGGCCAGGCCCTGCAGAAGGTGGAAGTGGGGACCCGGGGAGGGATCAGACCAGGGCTTGCACTCCAGGGGCTGAGGGAGATGCCACAAACAGAATGGGTCACAGTTTGGAGTGGGATGTGCCCTCATGGAGGCACTGTGGCAGCCCAGCAACCCCCTTCCCATTCATTCACTCACACTGTCCTTGGGCTTGGGGGGAGCTGGGCCCTAGAGAGGTGGCAGCCCCAGCTCCTGCCTTAGGGAGCTCCCAGTCAGATAAGCGTCTGGGAGGCTGACTCCCCTCCAGACAGGACAGGACTACGCCCTCAGGCTGGGCCCAGCCTCACCTCTCCCTTTCTTATCTGCAGAATTTGCCCTTCCTGGCTCTCCTTCTCAAAGCCTGCCTTTTATCTCCTTCTAGTTCCTTCCCCCTAAATTCCACTATGCCCTTCAGATCCTCCAGCAGGATGGCTCCACACTCCTCGCTGTCCTCCACCTGCTCAGCTCTGAGCACGGCCTCATCCATGTCCCTCATCCCTTCTTTTGCCCTCACTCCAGCTTGAAACCCTCTCCGGTGCTCTCGGGACAAACACCAACCTGGCCTCTGCCCACCTCCCCAGTGTCAGATCCCATCCCTCTCTGTACCAGCCACATAGGCCTTAGCACAGAGTCTCGACAGGGCCTCAGGACCTTTGCACTTGCTGTTCCTCTGCCTTCACAGTTCTTTTCCCCTTCCCTTGGCCTGGCTAACCCTCCCCATTGTCTGGGCAACGCAAGCAGACAGAGGCCCCGTTCTCTCATCATTGTGGCCCTCTACCTCACTGGACTTAGGACAGCTACGGTTTTTTTCCGCTTTAAAAAAAACTTGATGCAAACAAGAAAGGAGCCAGGATAGGGCTTTTAAACAAGCAGATCTAATTTTGAAAGTAAATTTCAGGTAATTTTCTGAGGGGCAACAAAACATACCTCCCTGAATGCCCTGTAATATATTTAGATTTGATTTTAGGTTTCTTCCTCAATTTAGGTAAAGAAAATAAAATTAATATATCATCTAACAGTGGCACATATGAAACAGATAAACAACCAGGATTTGCACAGGAAACTATATTCAACATCCTGTAATAAACCATGATGGAAAAGAATATGAGTAAAAATATATATATATATGTATAACGGATTCACTTTGCTGTACACCTGAAACTAACACAATATTGTAAATCAACTATACTTCAATTAAAAAACAATTGAGATAAATTCACATACCACACAGCTCACCATTTGATAGTGCGATTCTGTGGTCTTTAGCAGATCCACAGTGTTGTTCAGCTATCACCACCATCGAATTCCAGAACATTCTCATTACCCCCCAAAGAAACCCTGTTCTCATTAGCGGTCATTCCACATTCCACCACCCCCTAGCCCTAGGCAACCACTCAACTACTTTCTGTTTCTCTGGATTTGCCTATTCTGGACACCTCATAGAAATGGAATCCTACAATATGTAGCCTTTTGTGTCTGTCTTCTTTCACTTAAAATGATGTTTTCGAGCTTCATCCGTGCTGTAGCCTCTACGGTAGTTCATTCCTTTTTAATGGCTGAATACTATTCCATCGTGTGGGTGTCCACATTGTGTTTCGCCATCCATCCGTTGGCAGACATTTGGGTTTGTTTCCGCTCTTTGGCTATGTATCATGAACGATGCTGTATGAACATCCATATACAAGTGCTTGGGAGATGGACACCTGCGATTTTTATGCAGCACCTGTCTCCCTCAGGGGCTGGGAGTTTCATGGGGGTACAGACAAGTCTGTCCTATTTACCACTGTTTCTCCAGTGCCCATGATAAGGCTTGAAACATACCAGCCATTCAACCTACACTTGATGAGAAAACCAAGGACAAGGGGAAGCCCTGATTCTCCAGCCCTGGTTCATTTGGCTAAACTACTTCCACTGCCCCCAAGTCGGAGTCTCCCCTCCGTCCTCTGGCTTCCCTCTGGGGTCCTGCAGTGACACCCACTTGTTTTCTCTTTCCTGCCCTGCCCCCATCATCCAATCCCTTTGCAGATCCTTCAAAATCTATCTCCAACCAAACACTTCTCATCGTTTCCTTCTCACCCCAGTCGAACCAACACCGTCTCTCACTGGGATGCCTGCAACGGCCCTCTAATTCCTTCCCTGTTTCTGTTCGTACCTCCTTGGGTCTGTTCTCTTCCCAGCAGCCAGAGGAACTATTTTAATACATCAATCAGCTCCTGTCCCTCCTGTGCTCAAAACCTTCCCGCTGCTCTTGCTTCGCTCAGAGAAAGGCCAAAGTGCTCCTAGTGGCCCACAAAGCCCTGTCCCCTCTCTGGCCTTATCTCCCACCGCTCTCCCTCCCTCCCTCTCTTGGCCCCAGCCACACAAGCCCCCTTGCATTTATCTGAACCCACACCAAGCATGCTACAACCTCAGGGCCTTTGAATGCACCATTCTCCTGCCTGGACCCCTCATTCCTCCAAAGTCTGCAGGGCTCGATCCCTCTCAATCCTGGTCCCTCCCCTCCCCCGCTTGCCTGCCTTATTTTTCTTCACAGCACTAGTCATCGTCTGACCCTGCGGTTCTCTGTGTTTACTTGTTAATCTCCCTCCTGGCATGGGTGCTCCCAGGGGCAGGAATTTTTGTTCACTGTTATAGCCCCAGTCCCCGGAACAGTGTCTGGCACACTGGAGTGATCAAAAAGCTTTTTGTCAAATGAATAAACGAATGAACGAACCTTCAGAGACAAGATGTTCTGATCAATGGGAGTCAGCCGACAAGAAAAGGGAGCCTCCAAGAGGTTGAATGACTTGCCAAGGGTCGCAAGGTAGGTGTCAGAGGCAATGCACACTTGCTGCTAACAGCTGGCCCCCGCAACCCACAAATCCTCAAAGCTCCACCCCTTTCATAACAGACTTAACCTCTCTCCGCCACTTGAGACCCAACAGTTTCCACCCCTCTTGCTCGCTGAGCACCTACTACATGCCAGATCCTCCCATCCCTACTAAATTCTAAAATCATCACTGGGCACCCAGCAGAGGCCGCTCCTCAGACCCAGCCAAATAACAAGAATAGTAGCCAAGCTACCTAGTGCCTGGAGTGTGTGAAAGGCCTCACTCACATTCGGTATCATAACAACCCCATCAGGAAGGTGTGATCAGCAGTGCCTCCTGACAGATGAGGAAACTGAGAGGCGAAGTCTCTCATTCAAGGTCACACGGCTAGGGAGTGAGAGCGCTCACACTCAAACCCAAGTCTGGCTGACCCCAAAGCCCATGCGGACACAGCCTGTGAAGCTTTTGGCAGCTCAAAACACCAACACCCGCTCGCAGGAGCTGGGAGCTGACTTGGCGCCAGGCCTCCCACAGTCACGACCATTCTTCCTGCTGGTGATGGCTGTCCCCATGTTGATGTGGTCAGATGGGAGAGCACTCCAGATTCAGGGCTGTCCTGCTCCCTGACCTATGACCCCTCTCTGGGGCCAGGCTTCCCCCACCCCCCAGCTTTCCAGATCTCTTCCCCACAAATTCCTAAGGCCCCCTGGCCCCTTCTTTGAGATCTGGGCTCTCCCCATTCTGGCACATACCCCAAGACCCCGCGTTATAATGTCCTCTCCTTTGCAGGCCCCCCAGCTCGCTATTTCAGGTTCTCCCAAGACTCTCCACCTGCAGCGCCTCTCCTCTGTGCTCCTCCCAGTACCCCCTCTAGCCCCTTCTCCACTGCCCTCCATGTCTCCTAAGCAATCCTCCATCCTGGAGCCCCTCTATCCCTCACCAGGGGCCCACTACAGCCCCCCACCTTCCCCTCTCTCCTCCCCAAACCCCTGGGACTTTCTGTCATTCTCAAGTCCTCTCTATGAACTAGCTGGGAGCCTCGGTGACCTACCTAGTCCCTTCCCCTCTATGACACCCCCTCACCCAGGCCCTCAAGCCCAGTCCCTTTAGGCTTCCTGTGTTTCACGTCCTCCCAGTCCTCTCTGGCCTCCTCCCACTTTATCTCTCCACAGGGTACCCCCACCCACCCACCCATGCACCCTTTTCCCTTTCTAGCTACATCAGGGATTTCTCTAACCCCGTCTCTAATACGATCCCCCAGCCTTTCTTCCATTCCCAGGGACAACTCTATGCCCCATCCCCGGGACTTTACTAGCCTCCTCTATATTAAGACCCTCCCGGACGCCTCTAGCCACTCCGTGTCGTCACCTCAAGAGGCACACTATGACACCCTAAGCCCCCCCATCCCCCCCACCCTAAAGTACCCCCGGGGCCTCTCTAACCTCTCACTCTAAGACCGCAATGGATTTCTATCCCCTGGGCCCCTCTGTAGCCCCCGAATCCCTCAATCCCACGCTCCCCCTCGCCCGGTGTCCCCCGGCCGCTCTCTCACAGTTCCGGATGTCGGAGATGAACACGGCGAGCCCCCGCATCCCATCGCCCTTGGACACGGCCGGCATGATGGCGGTGGTGTCGGCTCCAGGCCTGGCCGGGCAGGGCGCAGCACAGCGGGGGCTGGCAGGCGGGGACCGGGAGGGAAGGACCCCAGGCAGCGCAGAGGAGCCGAGCCGGCCAAGGGGGGAGGGCGGGCTGGCGGGCGGGCTGGCAGGCAGGCGGGCTGGCAGGCCGCGGCTCCGCCCCCGGCCCCACCCCTCCCCTCCGCCATCCTGAGCTCTCAGCCGCCTATTGGCTTGGATTACTGCCGCTCAGACTCGGGCTCATCCCCGCTCCCTCTCTCATTGGTCTCTGGACAAAGGCACGCCGCTACGATTGGCCCAGAGCCCCGCTATTTCCGATCCGGAGGGAGGTGGGGGCGTTGCCCGAGAGACGGGCGGAGTTCGGTTACGTACAGTGGGACCGCCCCCTCCGCTCGGCCGGCTCCGATACTGATTGGATCCGGTCGCTCTCTTAGAAGGGAGGGATTGACGTGAAGGAAGGCGGGGGAACGGGCTCGAGCAGGCGGGACTTACGTTGATTGAGGCCCATGGGCGGGTAGACCGCCCCCGCAGGCGTCGAGGATTCGCCGGGCCAGTCCGACTCCCACCCCCGATTGGGCTGTTGTGGGGGCGGGAGGAGGGCGACGATCCGTAGAGAAGGAAGGAGCAGGGGGTTGTCCCTCGGCTGGGCTAGGATAGGTGGAGTGGCGCCTGCAATTCCCTGCTGCAGAGAAGGGGTTGGGAGGGGCAGGAGAGCGTGAGGTATTTGCTGCGCAAGCGTCTTTCTGTTCCCCTTTCTCCCTTTCCTTCACCCCCGACTCCTTAATCTCCTTCCAGGAAGACATCCCTTCCCCCTTCCCCTACCTTCTCTAGAGGCCAAGATGTTGCGACCTAAACTTGTCCGGAGACCAAGTATCCCAGAGCGGAGGACCCAGTAATTCAAGTCTACTCCCATTAAGCAGAGGTTAAAACTGAGGTCCGAAGAGGACCTCAATGACATGCCCAAGGTCACACAGCTCAGAAGTGGTAGAGTCTGGATGTAAACTATATTTTGGCCTTTAACCACTTTTCAATATACAATGGCTTTTTTCTTTTCAACCATAACACCATTAAACAGATATCGAATAAAAAATTGGGCTTGGAGCTCCTGAACAAGAAGGGGACCTGGTACTGAATGAAGAACGTTGGTTAAAGGGAAGGAATCGGTGAATCCGCTTTGTTTCGCCCAACCACTACCCCTTGGCGCCCCAGAGACCTTTGGGTGACTGGTTTTGGGGAAGGCAAAGCCTCCGGAACTCCAACGCCCAGGGCTAAAGAGAAATTTGGGGCAAATGGAACGGGAAGAGTCCATTCTGTCACCTCGAGGAACTAAGCCCCACCCGCCAGCCTTTTCCAATCTCAGAAGCCTAGTATTCTTGGAATGAGCCTTGGGGGAGTGTCACGGGTGCTGGGAACATCCACTCTGAATTCTGGGGGTATGGATAACGCCATTAAAATATATATGTATCAGTAGTGGGGTTGGTACTAGTCTGCTTTTCGAGGGATGCGAAGAGAGACATCCAGAGTCTGAAGAACAGGAAAATTCTGTCCCTAAGGAAGAGGGAAAAGCGACCCACTTCCCAGCTTTAACTATCCACCTCCCTCTCACCCACCACCTTCAACCCTTCACCGAGAGCCCACCAGGAGCCAGATAGAGTAAACTCTGGGTTTTTATTGTGGGGTGAAAGATGTCCTGTTTCTAAGTTCTGTCATGGTAGGTGGGGGAACTCAGTCCTCTCCCAACCCCCTCTAGAGCTCATAAATTAGCCAAAAGTTAATTTTTAAGATTGGCTGTAAAGCAGAGGCGTTCTGGGCACACATGAGGAGTGAGATTGGGAAGAGCCACCCTAACCTGAAAATCCCTGGGACTGTCCCATCCTGCGTGGGGGGTGGATGTGGCGCCACCCACAGGAGCTCATGGACTCATCCCTGCCCATTTAGAGCAGCACTTTCCAGAAGATATACAGTGGGAGCCACAAGTACAGTTTTCAGTATACTCCTGCCACGTTAAAAAAAAAAAACTGGGCTTCCCTCGTGGCGCAGTGGTTGAGAGTCCGCCTGCCGATGCAGGAGACAGGGGTTCGTGCCCCGGTCCGGGAAGATCCCACATGCCGCGGAGCGGCTGCGTCTGTGAGCCATGGCCGCTGAGCCTGCGTGTCCAGAGCCCGCGTACCGCAAAAAAAAAAAAAAAAAAAAAAAGTAAAAAGAAAAGGTGAAATGAATTTTAATAAAATATTTCGTTTAACCCCATATACCCAAATATTATTTCAACATAGTTGACATTCTTATCTTCCTAAGTCTTTGAAATCTGGTGTTTATACATATAGCACAGCTCAGCTGAGACATGCCATGCCACGTCACAAGTGCTCAGCAGCCACAAGGCCATTATTGGAAAGCAAAAAATTACAGGACGGGATTTGAGTAAGACCATTCTGGGGTTCAGGGGCTGAGGAGGTGACCCATTACTAAGTTTTAAGACCAGGTCATGAACAAGTTCATGTATGGGTTCTAGATGAGGCTTACACAAGTCCTTTTTGGTTTCAAGATGGAGCATTGGGACTTACCTCGTGGCTCAGTGGTTAAGAATCCGCCTGCCAATGCAGGGGACACAGGTTCGAGCCCTGGTCCGGGAAGATCCCACATGCCGCGGAGCAACTAAGCCCATGCGCCACAACTATTGAGCCTGCGCTCTAGAACCCACGTGCCACAACTCCTGAGCCCACATGCCACATCTACTGAAGCCCACGTGCCTAGAGCCCGTGCTCCACAACACGAGAAGCCACCGCAATGAGAAGCCCGCACACCGCAACGAAGAGTAGCCCCCACTAGAGAAAGCCCGCACACAGCAACGAAGACCCAACACAGCCAAAAAACTAAAAATCAAATCAAATCTTAAAAAAAAAAAAAAAAAGATGGAGCATTAAGAGGGAACCCCAGGAGCTCCTCGAATTGCTCAGGGGTTGAACCACAATAGCTTTTAAGATTTTGACCTGAACAAATTAACTCCTGATTTTCTCCAGAAAAGCTACACTCATCCCCAGTCTTCCCATTTTGGCGGCTGGGCCCACCATCAATCACCCAGGCACTCCTGCCAGGACGGACCCCCTCCTGTCCTTCACCCCAAACCAAAGCCAGGACACACCCCCAAAGCCGGCCACCTCCTCCCATCCCCACTGCCTCACCGGGTGCAGGCCACCATCACCATCATCTTTTGCCTGGAACCTTGTAGCGACATCCCTGGCCATTCTCCCTGCTTCCATCCTGGCCACTCAGCGTGCTTTTTGCAACATCAGTCAGCTGTGTCCTTCCGCAGCTTAAATGCACCAGACACACCGGCCTCCTCTTGGCCATTAAGACCGTCCAGACTCATTCCTGCCCCCTGCCCACCTCAGCTTTCCCCATGGCTGGCTCATCCTTCAGGTCTCAATGCAATGTCCCCTCTTAGGAGAGAACTTCTGGATTTAGGGATTTAAAGTGACCTCTCGGGACTTCCCTGGCGGTCCAGTGATTAAGATTCTGTGCTTCCACCACAAGGGGCATGGGTTCAATCCCTGGTCAGGGAACTAAAATCCCACATGCCGTGCATCGTGGCCAATAAATAAAGAAATAAAAAAATAAAGTGACCTCTCCGTGTCGTACTTGAACATGTTATCCAGTATTAAAAAAAAAAAAATGTGTTACAGCAATCCTACTCCTGGGCATATATCCGGGAAAGACGAAACTCTAATTCAAAGATACATGCACTCCAACGTTCATAACAGCACTATTTACAATAGCCAAGACATGGAAGCAACCTAAATGTCCATCAACAGATGAATGGCTAAGGAAGATGAGGTACATATATACAATGGAATACTGCTCAGCCATGAAAAAGAATGAAATAATGCCATTCGCAGCAACATGGATGGACCTAGAGATTATTACACTAAGTGAAGTAAGTCAGAGAAAGACAAATATCATGTGATATCAGTTATATGGGGAATCTAAAAAAAATGATACAAAGAACTTACGAAATAGGAATAGACTCACAGACATAGAAAACAAACTTATGGTTACCAAAGGGGAAGGAGGGAGGGATAAATTGGGAATGTGAAATTAACAGGTACACACTACTTTATATAGAATAGACAAACAACAAGGACCTACTATATAGCACAGGGAACTTTATTCACTATCCTGTAATAACCTAGAATGGAAAAGAATCTGAAAAAGAATAGATATACACATATACATATATATATATATATATATATATATATATATATAAAACTGAATTACTTTGCTGTATACCTGAAACACTGTAAATCAACTATACTTCAATTAAAAAAATTTTAAGGGACTTCCCTGGTGGTCCAGTGGTTTAGACTCTGCACTCCCAATACAGGGGGCTTGGATTCAAACCCTGGTTGTGGAACTAAGATCCCGCATGCCATGTGGCACAGCCAAAAAATAAAAACAAAAAAAATTTTTTTAATGTGTTATAGAAATTTTCAAATATACCCCTGCAAAGCAGAAGGGTATAATGCACCCCCATATACCCAGCTCCAACAGTTATCAACATATGAGCTTTATTCTTTCATTTATAATCCCCTGCATTTGACTTCCCTACCCCCCACTGGATTATTTTAAAGCAAGCCCCCCCATGATACAATTTCATCCCCATCACCCAGTTTCTTCTCCAACATTTCACAATGAAAATTTCTAAATATTCAGAAAGTTGAAACAACTGTACAGCAAACACCCATATACCCCATCGCCCCAATGCTGGCATTAACATTTTACTCCACTCGCTTTATCACAAGTCCATCTGGCCTTCCCTTCCTCCATCCATCAATCCATCATGTGTTATTTTATTTTATTTTATTTTATTTTATTTATTTATTTATTTTTTGCGGTACGCGGGCCTCTCACTGTTGTGGCCTCTCCTGTTGCGGAGGACAGGCTCCGGATGCGCAGGCTCAGCGGCCATGGCTCACGGGCCTAGCCGCTCCGCGGCATGTGGGATCTTCCCAGACTGGGGCACGAACCCGTGTCCCCCGCATCAGCAGGTGGACTCTCAACCACTGCGCCACCAGGGAAGCCCCTTTTTTTAAAATTTTTAAAAAATTT